TTCCCCTATTTGTGAAATGAATCAAAAATACAGGTGGTGGTGGAGAATACTATTTTCCTGATACAGTTTAGAGAAGAGATGGGGGAGCTCACAAACACTTGTTTTGATTATGACTGACATGCAACAGCATGATGATGCCGAGGGAACATGGTCAGCAAGGGCTGGTCAGTGTCGTTGCCTGGATTAGGGTATGGTCAAACTGTAGCTGTAGCAGAAAGTAGCTGTTATGTTAGGCAAAGTCCATACGTCTCGGCAGAAGAGGGGGAAGAGGAGGGGGAGGCAAAGATTGCCATCTTCTTTCCTGGAATCTCACTTAAAAACAAAACTCGCAATCTAAGTCTCTATCAATTAGCATTGCAAAGAAAATCTCTGAAAATGAAGGGTGTAAAGAGGCTGCCTGGCAGAATGCCTGAAACAATAACTCCGGGAAGTGTGAACTGCTCTCTCCATAGCCAGAGGATGTTAACAAAAGCCTGGTCTATTTGACCTAGCTAGTAATGATGGACAGTCACTATTAGCAAGTAGTGCAAGTCAGTGCAAGCCTTTGCTGACTCCTCCTTATCTCTTCTGCACTGGCTGTGGCTATAAGGTTTATATGTGTGTGTTGGAGGGGGTGGTTTCCCTCTCCTTTTGAGATCAGTATTGCAGGCTGCCTCCAGGGTCAGCTTTGTGTTGTAGTTATTCCTATGAGATGATGTTTTCTGCCATGAAAATTGGAAATGCAGAAAGAAAAATGACAGCATTTGTTCTAGCCTTCCCCGTGGCCAGACTGAATGAGTAAGCTCTCTTTGTACCCTACAAACATCCTTGGTATCCTTGATCCAGTTTATTATGCACCCCATGGACAGTTGTCCTGGAATTGCAGAGAGATGGAAAAGGTCAGATGCAATTCCACACTTTCTTGTGCCAGTTTAAATCAGGGTTCCCCAACTCTCTTTTACCCTCTGCTCCTGTGCATCCCCATCCCATGCTGGTGCTTGAACTAAGCTCTCCAAAACCTAACCTGGCCAAAAAAAAGTGACCAGTTTTTGGAAGGCGTAGCTCTGTGAGTTGGCTCATTTTCTAGTCAAGTGTGCACTGGAGGTGGCATGTGCAGGGCTGCGTGTGAATCCATATGGGGGCCTAAAGGCTGGTGGAATTGCACCCTGCATGCTTAGAGCAAGGAGTAGCTGAAGCTGGATTTGCTGTAGAGAAGATTGTCAATAAAACTATGCCACCAAGCTTTATATGTCTGCTTACTGTGTCTGAGCCTTCACCCACCCCTCCCTACATATATATCAGAGTATTAAAAGTGAATAAAAAAAACAGAAGGAC